TGTGTGTGTGTGTATAAAAGTCAACCAGTTGCTTCTCGATCAACAAGGAAGGAGACCTCTCTTGCTTGCAGTGGCTGCTGCTAGTACATGAGGAATGGAGAACTTTCACAGTCCCTGTGTGTTTTTTTAACTAGTGAAAATGTAGAGATTGGAAATATGAATCAGTCATCAATGCATAACTCGAGGTTCTACATCAGGGGTAGGCAACCTTTCCCCTTTAAGGGCCGAGGGACTTCAGCTCCCAGAAGCCTCAGCCATGTTGGCCAATAGTCCCATGTTGGCCAATAGCTCCTGGGATTATGGGAACTGAAGTCCCTCAGCCCTTAAAGGGGAAAGATTGCCTACCCCTGCTCTACATTCACAATTGCCCTAGTGAATTCTGTCCAATATGTCAGAAGCACTAAATACGCTAATCCAACAGACACAAATTGCAGCCTGAGAGACATGAAAAGTAGAAGACATTCTACTCATGGAACATGAGCAGCTACTGACTCCCCAACTCCACTCCAGTCAAAGTGCATAGCATTCAAGCCAGGCAATTTATTTTGACACACAAGGCAGCAAATCCCACAATGAGCACCCTGTCTTCCTTGCACTAAAAATATAATAACCACTAACTAAATGTATGTTTGCTGTCCTTTCTTGATACCCAAAATCTGATGCTCCACATAGCTGTTTTTCTCTGCCTAATTATCTGCTGAGACCTTTCATAGCATCACCTATATAGAACATGCCAAGATTCTTTTGTATAATTTTATAATTTTGTATAATTATTATAAAAAAGCTCTTTTTTGTTCATGATTTGAATCCCTAAGTATCTTACCTTTTTCTTTACATCCATTCCAGTTTTTTCTTGAAGATCATTTTCTTCCTTGGGGTCATATTTTTAGTAATAAACACTGGTTTATTTTTATTGATCTTGCATCCCGTCACCTCCCCAAATTCTTTTAAAATTTCCATTAATACTTCTATACTTTCTAATGGGTTTTCCAAATTAACCACTAAAACATCAGCAAATGCCTTAGTTTTGTATTTATATTTCTTAATTGTCATTCCTTGTAATTTATCTTCTCTTTTAATTTGCCTAATTAGTAGTTCCATTATCAATATAAATAGTAGTGGTGATAAGAGACATCCTTGCCGTTTCTCTCTAGAAATTTGTATCAATTGAGTTTTGTCCCCATTAATAATTATTTATGCTTTTGTTTTCTATAAATAGCTCCATTCCATTCTAAATAATTTTGTCCCGCATTCATCTTATTTAAGATTTTGAGCCATACTTCTCAATTAATACAGTCAAATGCTTTTTCCAGATCAATAAAGAATAATCTTAATTTCTTGTCACAGTGGCTTTCATAATATTCAATAATATTAAATACATATCTTAAATTGTCTTTTATATACCTGCCTGGCAGGAATCCGCTTTGATCTTCATCTACTGTTACTTGTAAACATGTTTTCAATCTATTCACCAAAATTTTTGAAAATACTTTATAATCAACATTAAGCAACGATATTGGCCTATAATTT